TACACGACAAAATTATCCCCTGGAAGCTATGTAGTTCCTGCGCCCTGTACACGGATCCTGCGCCCTGTACACGAAACAACTACCACCGCGGAAACCCCGGCCATTGTCCTGCGGCCAATGGACCCGAGACCACTCTCCCCCTGTGCTACGTCCCGACCGTTCCCAATCCTTTGCGAATGGGGTTGGGTCTCTTTCATGGGACAAGCCCTTCGCGACCGACACCCAAGCAGCCGAGCCCGTGCCAGTCCAGCCCCAACTGATCAGGTTCAACCAAGCAGCGCGATCCCAAGTCCTCGGCCCCTGATCCGAACTGTGGATTAGGGATTCACCGAGGATTCCGCGAGAAACGGGTTCAAGTGTGGAACTTCTTGTCTCCTCTGGCGTGGTCCATCAGGAGCTGGCAGGGTCGGAACTGCTCGCCATGCTCGTCGGCCAAACGGTTCATCATGTCCGCATAAGCGCCTGGTGATCGACGGGAACAAAGTGGGCAAGGCAGGCAATGATGGCAACGAGACCCGTGGGAGAAGGCATATATACATCCCAGGTTCTGTTGTAGTCGAAAATTCACTTGTCGGCTCAATTGGTGTGCTCATGCCGAAAGTGAAGTTGGCTCTCGCTCGTGGGGGGTTTTCGCCAAGATTTTCACAGATGAACTGAACTGTGGGTAGAGCCCACCCAAGCAAAGCGTATTGTAACTTTTTGGCCAGATCCACTGTGAGAAAAACATCCAGAGTGACATGCGTTGCAGATTTGTTTCATTCCCTGCAGTAGACCACCTTCAGCTGGATTGGACACATACACTAAGCGAGGGAATTTAGAGGTCGCACGGCAGTACGGTGTCATGTCAAATCTCGAACGACAGTGGCACCGGTACGGACAATGTCCTGTTCCATGGGGTGCAAGGCTTTCGGGCCATGTTTCAACTCGAATTAGTGTCCATCTCGTAATGAAAACTTCTTGCCGAAACCGTGCTCGCCAAAAAACGTTTTTCAAAGACAGGTCGGGTTCGGCCATGAAGAGGACGCACCCAACAAAAACCCGTATGACCGCAACGACACTGTGCAACGCTCGCCCGTCCTCGTTGACGACTAGGGCACGGTGGCCGTTAGATGACGGTGAATGTGATTTTTGCGAGGGGAGCACAGCACCGGTAGAAGGACAAGAAGGAATTTCGCCAGCGCTCTCTCTCTGAGGGAGATGACACACCCTAGTCGTAAACGATGACGGGAGAGCAGCAGCAGGGGTGTCGTTCCTTCATGGGCGAGATTATCCCCGTTCAGCGTAAATTTTCTGAAGCTTCCGTTGGTGCTCTCTGGCCGGCAGAGCGGGTTCTGCAGTTGCAGACATCTCGATGAGAAGTTATGAAAAGTTTGCCAACAAAGCTTAGCAGGGTTTCTGCCTGTCATGACGTGGAAAGTTCGGGAAAACCTATAGTCGAGGCTGCCAACTTCCCGCGAAAAAAAGTGAACCCGTTCATACTTTCGTCACACATGTCTAGACTTTCGCTCGCAGCTGTCTCCCCGAAGGCCCCCCTCTCTAACTGGAGGACTCCGATTCGGGTCGAGGCAAATAATTCCTCTGCAGCGCATGCCAGTACGAAGTGGTACCAATCACTTGCCCTAGAAGGGTTCAGACGTCCCTCCCTTACGTATATTCCCAATCAAGGGCTTTACACAAAATAGGCACTGCTTGAGAAAAAGACCTCGCCGGGATTCGAACCCCCAACCAAGCCGTTTCACACGTTTTTGAGGTTGCCACCTACACCGCAGATGGAACGATTCGCGGCGTTTTTGTCAAGAGACCCTACGGACAAAACAGACAACGAGGGGCGTACCGCTTTTTCGCTCTGAACATTTTTCTTTCATGCATTTGGAATAGTGGTGAAGGTGTGATTCGGTAGTCAAAATGAGTAATTAGGAACAAAGAAACGAGAACCTCACTTCATCACTCTCGGAAGGGGGGATTAGGGGAAGGAAACCTTCTGTGCGACCCACGGGTTAGAGCTCCTCTATCCACACAACCGTTGTTAACTCTGTGATGAAAAAAAAAAAAAACTCAAGACTGCGCGAGGACAAGTCGCTTGTCAAGGATGGTAAAATAGCTAGAGGGGCGAACCGTTGCTTCCACGCTCTTGTCAGAACACGTGCGTCTATTTAGCTCGGATCTCACCTGCACCTCGCTGATCCAGTAGACGGAACGGCCCTCCTCGGAAAGGGGGAAAGCCCATGCCGAAGACGGCGCCGATGTCGCCGTCCACGGGCGACGCGATGATCCCTTCCTGCAGGCACAGCGCCGCCTCATTCACGAACCTAGGAATTCATTCACACATGCAGGGGCGGGCGGTACGACGTCATCATCACAAATTCACACGCAGAACGGGCCCGGCCCGCCCGTAGTAAAGAAACATTTCGCTATGAAACAGAGGCTCAACTTTCACCAAGAGGAAGAAAAAAGTGTTCAAAAACAAAACAGATCCTAGACTAACCTCTACAAAATGACGTGTGCTCGACAGTGGCGATGAAATGACGAGTCTGAGTCTCGGCTCGATTTCGACGTTTCTTATCTCCGGCCCTGTTCTATATATAGGCTGCCGTTTGGTGTCCTATTTTATTCGAGCGAAGCGAGATTTCTAATCTTGCCTGAGAGGGCTCAGCGCAATATAGGGGCCGATGCAGGAAAAAAAGTGCGTGCGTGTGTTGTGTTCGCTTAAACTAGGTTTTAGAGTACAGGACTTGATTTGTGACTACAGGGCGCACTTTTTTTTTTTACACAGCAGAGCAGCAAACAGCAACAGCAGACAACACGCGCTCAGCGAGCAGACTGAACACACACGCACAGCAGACAACACGCGCTCAGCGGGCACAGCGACACACCAACAGCGCAGAGCGGACACAGCCACAGCGGCCTGCATGGCATGGCAATTGCATGATGAGTAGACGTCCGTTGGGGCCGATTGACCCGAACTCCCTCCGTGAGGCAGAGACGCACACAGACTCGCGGCGCAGACAAAGCCACGGGGAGAGGGAGCCCCTAGGCAGCCCACAGCTTGACCGGGCGAGAGCTGCTGCTCG